GTTACATTTCAAAGATGCATAATTAAAATTGAATGCCTGAAATGTGTTCCACTAGTTTTTTTCTTCCTTTAGTGACGATACTAGAAACATTTGGGGTAGAGCATTCCACATCTTGTATAGCAAAGTAACCACAAAAAATGGGGCAATCTGCCATATTTATGTATGGCTTGAGGTTTAATGCTTTCTCAGCTGTGTTACTTTCTCCTACAGGTGGCAGGGAGCATCAAAACAAAACAATATTTGTCTATCTGTGTCAACAATAAAAGAGCAGATAATAAGAAAAGAGCCTTTCAGTTTCGCTTAAGAATTTCAGCGATTTTATTTCTAACCAGCAATTTCTATTATATAGCCCACTTGTGTACACAAACGTATTATGTGCCTTTGCCACACGCTCACACAAATACAAGAACATGTGAGTTCACACATGCACTTGGACTCACCAACACAGTGATATTGATTGCCAGGTATCAAGCACGCTAACTTGCGTCAGTTTGTTTGATAGACAAATTTGTGCAGCCATTTAGAAATATTCAAGTGAGTTTAACTTTTTATATGCACCACTACTGAAAAATTGTAATTATCTAAATGGATTGTGCATGGATGCGAGAGAATGAAAAAAGGACTACCTGGGCGCGGTTCAAATTTCTAGTCAAACCTTTGCCACGTTCAGCTAAGCAAACGACAGCCCGGAAAAAACTGCTGGCTATTGAAAATGCAGACACGCGTGTATTCCTATATGTGAGCAACTACGACCTGAAGGGGACTGAACGGCGAACGATGCAACTTTGTAAGTCACAGTCATGTTGTTAAGTTCGTTGAGTGCCGACGCAGAGACGTGCATTCACAAATGCAGACATGGAGAAAGGCTTTTATGCCTAGTCAAATGAGTTCAATTCAACATACAGCAAAAAATAAATAAACTGACGATGTAAAAAAGGAGAGAGTGCAAAAATGGCAAGGACATTTGAAGCTTGTTCTCCTACAATGCATAGAGCATTCCTTCTGCACCTTACCAAATAATTGGAACATATTATTAATACGTTTTCGGAAGTTAAAAGAGATTAAGGCGGTCATTGAGTCTGCATGTCTGCATTTTTCCTAAAAGGTAGAAGTTGCACGGTGCCATATCAGGTGAATACGGCGAGTGGTTAATGGTTAAAATATGATTTTTGGTCAAATAATCGGTCACAAGCGTCGATCGATTCTGAGCAATTTTTGGTCGTCAGTCAATTTGTGCGGAACAAACCGTGCACACACCTTTCGTAAGCCCAAATATTCGGTCAAAATGCGATAAATCGATGTTTTGGAGACGTTCAATTCCATTTCCATCAATTTCAATGATGATTTCGGATGATTTTTGATGAATTCATGCACAGTTTCGATGGAATTTTCGGTAATCACGAATTTTAATTGGCCCACATGTTGATCGTCATTTATGCCCTCACGACCACTTTGAAAACGTTGAAACTACTCGTGCACTCTGCTACGGGATAGGCAACGTTTCGGTAAAAGTTTTACCAATTTTAAAACAAAATTTAATGTTGGCTCTTTGTTCGAAGCTCATTTTCGCACCGATAGCACAAACATACTGACACTTAAAACGCAATAACTTCACTTCCAATCGATGAAATGTCATGAAATTCTTACTGGACAATCGATAAAGATAGCAGATTCTAACGCACCAGTCGACATATAGATAGCGCCACCAGGGGGTGCTAGATTCAAAAAGTCCTGTTTACTTTGGAACGCACCTTGTATACTTTACGAAACAGAGTTTAGAAATTAGTTATAATATTCATTCTCAAATAAATATATTAACATCTTAAAGAAAATATCAAGAGTGAAATCAGAAAACTTCTTTGAAAGCCGTTGTAGCCTTTGAAATTTGTTGTTTTATTCTCCATTTATTTTGGTTATTGTTAATTGTAATGCGAAGAAAAGAATTAAAAGAATTATTTCACGAACATTTAACTTGCCTTTAGTCTTGTCTTTCACTTCAACATTAAATCAACATGCTTTAAAAAAACAAGCTCTATTCAGAGTATTGTCTAGTGATCAAATATTTGGACAGCTGTCACATTTTAGATTCGCAGTTTTAATTCAAACACAGTTCAGGTTTTATTCTAATCTTGTGAAGTTATACCCTCTGCATAGGGGGTATACTTGTTTCTTTTGCTTGCATGTCGGTCACTCTCGAAAGGAGACGAGTCTGTCTCGTCAAAAAATAGACACATACTCGTATAGACAACAAAATGGGTAATAATCGATTTCCCGTTTTTTTTATAGCATTTCATTAATATTTACGATTTATTTTTTAGCTAGGGATCATCTCACAACAGCACGTATTCATAAATGAGAAAATAAGAAATCAGGGACAAGAATATATAACAATCGATGATCATAGTTCACTAAACTGCTCATTGACGCAATAGCAGAACATTTGCGCAAATACATAAATTTTCAAAACAACAACAACAAATAATGCTTTCAAGCACCATTTTGAAAAGAGAGCACATAATGAAAGGCCAGCAATGATGTTTAAACAAGTTTCTTAGTGTGAAATGGTTCAATTAATTATATAAATATAAAAGGCTCAGTTGTATTCTCCGTTAAGAAAGGTAATTAAAACAGAACTAGCACAGCTGAACGTGATGAATCGTACACTATGATAAGCGAGAGCCAAGTACATGAATTATATAGGAAATATTATTGGAAAAGAAGATTCAAAAAAAGTGGATATTTACGAAAATCGAAAATCAATCAATGTATTGTATGCATATCACAATATTATGATAGTCCTTTTTAAGAAGTAGAAGTAAGTAAGCCTGGTCTGCCTTCTGCCATCATTACGATAAATGTATAATAAAAAGGGCGTAGAGCTGGTGGCGAAAGTATACTATAGATTATTGAAGTTGAAGTCACAAGTCAACCCAAACGCAGAGCTTTAACATGTGGCGGCAATTTCTCAGATTTCTTTAAGGAGCAACGACTGGCGTGCAATTAAAATGCAGGCAAGCAGCTGCAAGGTGCTGGCCACAATGCACTCCACACAACATGTGTTTACTTTCAATGAGCGTGGCGAGACGTGCCAGTGCATTCGAGTTACTACACATATGCGTGGAAGTGTGTTAGTTAACCAAATAGTATAATTTTTATGCTGGGGCACGCGTGCAGCACATGCTTGTAAAATCAATTAAACTTTTGCCAAACTAGCACATACATCGTGCACCCTCCCCTCCTCGCTATCGCCATCACCATACACATACAATCTCGTACGGATACGCACACATTCGCTCGCGCTATCCAGAGGACGCTCAACTGAGCTTTGACCAAAATGCGCGCAACTAGTTCATTTGGCATTGCCTGCTTTTAGGGGCCACAGCGTGCAGCACATGCCAAACGCATCAAAACGAAGCAAATAGACAAACAATCGCACACTCTAAGTCTTAAGACAAAGGCATGCCGTCAAGACAAACAATGCCCGATTCGAATTGTTGTTCATGTGATTATGTGGGGATGTGTGTGTGTGTGTTTGTTTGTGTGTGTGCTTGTGCTGTCTGCTCTGTGGCCGCTGCATATTTAAAGGCGAACTCTCAATGGTAATCCTCTTACCTTGCATCTATTTGTGTGTGTGTGTGTGTGTGTGTGTGTGTGTGTGTGTGGGTGTGTATGGGTGTGGGTGTTGGTTTGCTTGCCACAAATAGGAAACCATCAAGCTGTAGACTGTCTCTACCTACGACCCACCTATTTGGCATTTATCCATCGCATAGATGCAGGCCAAACGGTTGATAGACGAAAGGGACCGGAACGTACAGCTACTCGAGTTATTTCCAATATTACCAGCATTTCCGGCATCATACGGACGACGTACACACACAACACAGTCATAACTGGCAAACACTACTTAAAAAACGCCTAAAGAGCTGAGTTGAAATTTCTAAATATGAGTAGTACTTTGAATGTAAAGATCAGAATACCGAATTGGAATGATTTCATTTACATATTCAAAATAATTCCCTATCTAATTTGTATGTCAAAACGAGCATTTAAACCATATCAGAAATATTTAATACATTTTTCAGATTTCTAATTTTGTTTGCTTCCAACAAAAATATCACAAACTTAAAAGGAAATTCTTCTTTGAAAATATTTGCCAAATTCAAATTCATATATTTCAAGAATTTCTAGGCAATATAATGTGACTAGTGCATTAATTTATAAGAATCATTCTTGTAGCACTAGGAATAAATAAATAAATAAATAAATAAATAAATAAATAAAATAAATATACTTGTATTTCGCTCCATCCCATCAAGCCTAAATTTTAAGCGAATATACGTATTGCTAGTAATTACAAAAAATACTTGTATATGGCAAGAAGATGATTAACTAGAAGTCGATAACATACTTGAAGAACGCAGTTATCACAGCTAGAAGAAGAAGGCTTTTAAAGTAAAGAGAAAATGTCATGAATAGAGGAAATACTTGCAGAGCGGGTAGGTTGGGGTGAGAAATCCACCCGCCCACTTATAAGAACAAATAAGTTTTCTTTATCAACACAAAAGCAAAAGAAGCTAAATAAATAAGTATCAATAAATAAACAATCAATCAGAAAGATGTTAGAAAATATGAGAAACAATTAAATTCATGTAGATAGGAATTTAAAATTGAGCGGTGTATTGAGATTTATAATAATACAAAAATAGAATCAGATGAAAGCGAATGTTTGTTTCCCTTTTTCTTTTTAGATATTCCGCACATTTTCTTTGAAGCAAGTATGGAACAGTTTTAAGTGATATTGTCAAAAATATCGGACTCCAATACAACCTACTAAATATGCTTCATACAACTAATTTGGCACTAAAAGGAAATTAGCACAATCTTAAAGTTGTTCTTTAGGTATATCCTATAGATGTTCAACTTAGGCAGGTCTGCCTGTATATGTACATATGGTAAGCTGGCATATGTGTGTGTGTGTGTGTGTGTGTGTGTCTACTCACTTTGTACTGTGCGACTCATTGTAGTTCATTAACAAATGCAGTATTGTCTCCCGGTACTCGAGCACATAGCACACATTGTTCAATAACATATCGAAAAGTGCGCGTGCGTTGTTGTCATCCTTTAGCTTCTGCAGTGCCAGCAAGCTTTGCAGCAATTCACGGAATGTCTTTAATTAAAAAATTGGTAAGCATTAGATGATGATAATGATAATGGGCAGGGAAGGCCGGCGCAAGTTGCTGGGGAATGAGCGTTGCTTGGTGTGCATTGTAATGAGGAGTAGAAAATGAGTTCAAGCAAGGGCAGTGGCGAAATGATTATCTGGCTGACTGCCTACATTCGTTATGGGTTTATCTCGAAGTATTGTCCAGTTTTCTGGACATTTCCCTTAATTGTTCTTAAAATTGGATGTGTTTATTAATTTCTTATTTTTTGTGTTTAATGTTTAATTAGTCTACACAGTTATTAACTAAAACTATTAACATATTTAATGATTTCATTTTGGAAGATGTCTTTAATTATTAATAGTATTCCTGACTCTTGTTGTATAAGAAATTATAGTTCATTTCGAAGATATTTTAGTTTATTTTCCATGCTACAAGCTACGTTTTTCTCTGTTTCTATGCAAAGTAGTTTCTCAGTTTAAACGTTTTTTCACAGAAACATCATATGTATAGGTAAGCAGAAAATTGCTGAAGACGTTTTGGTCCGCAGAGCTTATCTTGAATGGGAGACTACATTTGCAAGAATAAGCATCGATGCGTTGAAGAAAACGAACGTATTTGTTAAACATTTTTATGAATTGAAACTAGAAGAAGATACCCTTCACTAACCTAGTTAAGCGGCTTAAGATTCTTTTAAGCCCAAAATGTATCTCTAAATTTAATAAAAATTAATTTTTAATAGATTGATTTAAATGGATTTTATTTAGTTTTCGCCGATCAGATTTTTAATACTAACAGAATTGTAAAGCGATCTTGGCCCTGTTCTTCCGTCAACTATTTCACATTTTAGATTTATCTAATTCAGGTCAAAACAATTGAATGGACATCACTTTTAGGAAATTGAACATGGATTTTGTGATTTTGTGTCATCTCCTACTTATTAGCAGGTACGATGCTACAGAGCTTAGCAGCTTGATGTTTAAAGCACCAGCTGAAGCAAGAGCTGACTGTGGTGCTGATGGAAATAGCCGCTCTAGGGCAACGGCCAAATTTAATGCTTTGTTCAAATACACGTGAACTTGTGATAAGCGCATTTAATCCCAAGCAACATCCAAGCAGGGAGCGAACGCGTCCAAAAGTGCACTTAGGGCGACAAGACAAACAACAACAGGAATACTTGTACGCGTGCACACACATGCCGTAATGGGTGGGGTGCGGGGTTTGTTGTTGCACGTTAAGCTTCGGCTGCATTTACTTACCAGCAGTGCCACATGCAAGCGCTTGGCCCAGAGACGCGCTTGCTTCTTGTCGCTCAGAATCATGTCCATGTCGTGTTGCATGCGCGTCAGCACCCAGTGGAAGCATTGCACGCTCAGTGACTCGCTGTGGAAAATGGAATGGAAACAGGAGGTTAACAGCAGCAACAATAGCTATATATGTATGTACAACGACAAACAACAACAGAAATAACTAATGCATTATAAAAAGGCACTCGGCTGGCATTAAACTTAAACTCAGCGCCATATTTCGGCCAAAGCAACGCCAATTGCAACAGCAGCGGGTGGGGCTAGCAGCTAGCAGCTACGAAAGTCTTGCAGCACACAGACGCAGCGAAAAACTCATTAACAAAATTAATTTTTAAGTAGCGCTGCAAAAGAGCGCCTAAGTTTGGGGCTCAAGCTCCGTGGATGTGGATGTTGTGGCTGTGGCGAAGCCAGAGTGAGGCAGGGAGAGGCAAGGTGAGGCAAGGTGAGGCAGGTGGGCGTTGTCAAGCCGCACGATTGTTGGTTTATGGCAACTCAAGCTGTCGACTGGCATTTGTTGCTGCTGCGTTTGCATGCAACTTTCCTAAATTAGCAACGTGACGACTGCCTGCGATGGCCATTAAAGTTTCTTAAATTGTCGCTGCGACAATTCCAACGACGGCGACGCGGACGGGGACGGCACGACGTCGTTTGAAAAGGCATTAAAATCAAATTAATTACACTTGTGCGACAGCATTTGGTTCCCCGCTGGCAGGGATTGGGACAAACATGCGCAAAAATTCGAATAAATAAATTATAAAATCAATTAAGTTGCAATGAACGAATACATAAAGCGTTAAGTTAGACGCAACATCGAAATGCAATGGTCGCTATGTCTTCACTAATCCTTCCTATGCCAGCTATATATTATGGTGCATCGATATCGATCAAACTGCAGGTTCAACTTGACAGAAAGAAGCTTTCACATTTCACTTCCAAAAGGTTTATTTACTTCATTCTAACTATTAACCAAATAAGAATAAAATACCATTGGTTCAAATAAAGTGTCGGAGCTAAAGAAAGTGTGCTGACAAAATGAAACAGCCCTGATCTTTGCTCTTTCAATACCCTGAGCCCGCAGGATAAAAGGGTATATGCCACAAAGAAGAATATTATTGATCTATATGACAATATATCTTAGAAAGTATAAGAGCTAGAACAACCAAACTTGGTATCCTAAGTCTCTCACATTACATCTGGTTAGTATTTAGGTCAAGTTTCATTTCGACTTTTCAGCTTTTATCGTCAAATTATTAAGTCACCTCCACTGAGTAATTTCATATATCTATTAAAATTATGTTTATCTCAGTCAATAATTTGATCATTATTCATTTTTTATAAAGGCTTTATAAAATGAGGGTGTTGCACAATTTCTAATCTCTGCCCATTTTATGGACGTCATAGAAAATAAATATGTACACAGTACCAAGTCGTATACTATATAATAGCCGATCAATTTGTGATATCGCCATACCTCACTGAAATAGATGTGGAGACACGCTATTGGAGACACTGCATGCCTTTAAAAGCAGAATTCTAAAGCACCAGCATCGAATAAGCAAAATGGCAAACTCAATTTCACTTTTTCAAAACTTTGCGTCCTGTCTCCTTTTTTGGTTTTGCTCCGTACATGTGTGTGTGTGTGTGTGTGTGTGTGTGTGTGTGTGTGTGTGTGTGTGTGTGTGTGTGTGTGTGTGTGTGTGTGTGTGTGTGTGTGTGTGTGTGTGTGTGTGTGTGTGTGTGTGTGTGTGTGTGTGTGTGTGTGTGTGTGTGTGTGTGTGTGTGTGTGTGTGTGTGTGTGTGAGTTTAGTGGTGCGGCATACTCGGCCATACATTACAGCGATGCCATGCTTTATATAGTGCGAAATCAGTAGAAAATGGCAGACGATAAAGAAAGTTCGAAACGGGTGGCGGCGTAAAATTGCATTTGCGGAAATAAACAGAAAGTTTTATGGCCGGGCATAGAAGTACAAAGTACAAAAACCGAGTGAGCAAGAGGAAAACTAAGTATGAGCGGGCAACGAAAATGGCAAGCAGGCAGCAAAATTATATAAAGGAAAAAGAAGCACAGCTGTAGAGGAGGGGCTGTATGGAGGAGTTGCAAAAGTGAAAAACAGCCGTAGAAAGAGCAGCTCCGGGAACTGAAGCCAACAACATGGATCGTGTAAAATAGTGCAGGGCGCGGGGCAGGGAGGGGGGCTGAGCAGGAAAACTTTGCAGCAACGGAATGACAACATTTTTGCAAAGCTTCATTGTTGTCATTCAGAAACTAATTTGAAAGTAACCAAAACAATTTTAAAGAAATTTCCCACCACACCGAGCGCAGCGACAAAAGCGGGGGCTGGGAAGCCGGCAACGCTTGCCAGCAGAAGGATGACAGCATAAAGAACGCAAAATTTTATTAACAGCATGCCGGACAACAATAAAAATACACCAACAACAACAACAGCAACAGCAACAAGCAACTGACTAACAAAATGGCAAGCAGGCCAGGGCCGAGGCAGGGGTAGGGGCGGTCCGAGGAACCGGCGCCAAAGACAAGGGCAACTGAGCGTCATTGGCATGCCGGGCGACAACTTTGGCCAAAGAATATTGTGAAATTTTCGTTAGTTAAGTCAAGGCGTGCCGAGCAGGATTGTTGCGGTTGGCCGGGTGATTGGGTTGGGTCCTAGGAGGGGGAGGGGGAGTTGGAGCGGTTGCTAACTCAACCAACTGACCAACTGCTGAGTGACTGAAACGCTCATGCAATTGTAAAGTGGCGTAGGTCAACGATTGGCATCATGACTTTGATTTGTGCATGTGCTCGATATCCACTCCAGCTCCTATCCTTTCCCTCTCCGCCTCTTCTCTCTCTCTCCCTCTCTGTATCTGTCTCTGTTCATTCCCACTATCTTCCAATGTAATGCAATAAAATTGTTTGTGTAAAATGAGGGTCGGGAGTAACTGGACAATGACATACAAATTGTGTTGTTGTGCGCACCCAAACGCAGCTCGATTCACATTTTGTATTGACATACTAAGGGCAACCGCAGCAGCAGCTGCAACAACAACAACAACAATAAACACAGAAACCCAGAAACATCAACAGCGCAAGAAAAGCGAGAGAAAAAACATGGCTGGCGACATTTTCGTTGCTCTCGTCGTCGCCATGTTTTTCATGCCCTGCCGTTTTATCCCACATTTTTGGCCATTGCAATCGTGGGAATTGTCATCGCACAAAAGTTTATTTTCAGCACACAGTTTTTTCATTCTCTCCTTTGTCATGCATTTTGCGTTTGATGAAAGGTTTTCGTTGACTCCCATTCCCTGAGCTGGCGCCACCAGCTTCCTCGCATGGAAAATGTTAAATTGAGTTAAGTAAAGAAATAAAAGTTTAGCAAATTTCGTTACGGTTCTTCTTCTTGTTCTTCATTTTTTCAAACGAGTATTGTGCGCAAATAAAGTACAAACATTTCGTTTCCGAACCAAAGCAAAAGTAATTTGATTAAAAGCTATGATGAGCGGCTGCAATTGTATGGGCGCCCATTTAGCTGGCCAAAACGAAAGTCAATAGAGGCCAAAGATTTGCATATTTGCTGACTAGACTGACTAGCTGGCTGACTTTAGAATTGGCCAACAATCTGGGCAGAAATTCATTAGGCATTAGCCAGAAAATTCATGTCAAGCTAAATTCGGTTATGCACAAATACATTTCGGTTTTAAAATTGCAATTTTGTAACCTTATCGGCATTTCATAGTTTTTTTTTAAGTTGATGAAATGGCAATATTTGCCCATACGTTGGCCCAAAACACAATACATCCTAATTGGATCAGACATCCTTTCAGCTTTACAGTCACTCAGTCTCTGCACCGTAAACGATGCCCAAATTTCCCATCAATTTTGCAAGCATAAACAAAAAATCGTTTTTAAATCGCTAAGATCTTTTGTTTTCCAATCAAGCTAATGCGTCAAATTTAGTTTGTAACTACTGATACAAAACTATATGCTATTCTATATTATATATGCCAGCTTCTGCTGAATTTTCAACTCAAGTATCCTTTCCCAGTGTATGTGAGCACTAACTAAATTAAGTATTTAAGCATTTAAACACACTCTCTCGCGAGTGTTGCTTTCTTCTAAGACGAACATCGCACCAAATAAAAAGAAGACAAACCAAATCGAATTTATATTTTACTGTCAATCTACATGGTTGTAAACAGGACATCAATGGAGACAAATTTAACAGAAAACAAGAGAGACCGCTACAGTCGAGCATGCCCGACAGTAAAATACCCACAAAAAAGGAAAATTTAAGAAAAAAATTATTTTAAAAAATTTAATTAATCAAACTATTTTTCTCGGACTTTCGGGCGGATAATTTTGATACCAAGTTTGGTTATTCTAGCTCTTATACTTTCTGAAATCCTTGCGTTCATACAGACAGACAGACGGACGGACGGACATGGCCACATCGACTCGTCTTGTCATCCTGATCAAGAATATATATATACCTTATGGGGTCGGAGATGCTTCCTTCTGCATGTTAAATACTTTACACAAACCTAATATACCCTTTTCACCCTTTGGGTACTGGGTATAATTACTAATAATGTATAATCCTTGCTTGTTTCGGAATTATTCAACGTTTACAATATACAAGTATGCACAAAAAATAATGCACAACAAAATAAATAGTTCATTCAAGATCGTGCAACTTCAAAAAAAGTATAAATATGTCGCTTTTAGAAAATGTTTGCTAAAATCGTTTGAAAGGAAACTAATCCTATGACTGAAAATAAAATTTAAGTTCGTCAAATCAAAGTGAGAAAGTGAAAATAGTGTCGTTAAATTGTCCGGCTATGAAAAGGCTTGTGATATGGCTTAAAGTTTAAACAAAAAATAGATAGAGTTCTATTTTCTCAAACAGCCAGATGAATGCAGTTTCTCCTGAGGCCTATAGAGAAGTCGTCGTCCCGGCCTTTGTCGTTAAAGCTGAAAAATATTGTAAGCTGGCATTTTTTTATAGACAACTTAATGCCATGGATTCGCTTTACAAGTTCACCCTCGGCCAACTCGATGTGTTTTACAATGCAGCTATTGCCAATTCATTTGCCGCTTTAGTCAACTGAAATGCATTTGAAGACAAGCGACTGTAAATCTCAGTTCAGGGAAGCTTCAAAGCAAACATTTCAAAAGAATAATGTTTTCTAAAGCAACAACAAACGTAACAAAAGTCACTTTGACAGTTGCAAATGCAGCACACACACACACACACATGTCCACACAAACAAACAAACACACACACACACACACATGAACATGTCGAACACTCACCTGACTAGCTGCAGTTGAAGACCACTCAAACGATTGAACTCCATGAAAAATCGTATGGCCCACAATAGATAGGAGTCATCGTGACTCGACGAGCCGGCACTGCGTTCCAGCACACGACGCACCTGGCGGACGAGGGTGTTGTAAGCTGAGCGCAGCACCTCGATGCAATATTCGCGCAGGCAGAGTCTGTAAGGATAAAAAGGAGGCATGAGCTTGCATGTTGCAATAATATTGATTGAAAAGCCAGCAAAGCGCTCGCTCGCTCGCTGGCATGGCATGGCATGGCATGGCATCGATGCTGGGTGGCAGCTTATAACAAATGCTTGGCAACAACGGCATTTACTGACGTTTATGCAATAAATTTCAGCCCGTCCAATTTATTTGCTCACAACGTGGCTGCCACATAATTTGCCACGAACCTGCAATGGTAGTGGTGGCAGCGGTGTAAACCGCAAGCACCAGACAAATCCAACCCGGATGCATTGCCAGGACCAGATTAATTTATGCCAATGCTGCGACAGATAGGGCGCGGGTGCCTAACGGGGTTGCAAGCAAATACACCAAACAAAAAAAAAAAAAACACGAAACATTAAGGCTCCTTGCCAGCCTGCAACAAATTGTTGTGTGTTGCGTGAATAACAAAATGTTTATACGAGATCTGCAACCGTAACATTTTTAGTAATACTCGTATGCAGCTTCAGTCTTCGGGCAGAAAATTCATTCTACAGCCCAATATCATAATGGCATTTATAGGCATTCTAAACATATCTCATGGAACTGATATAGTTTCGAAGTGTAGTTAGCCACAGGCTAGTAAAGTGATTTCAAAAAGTCCGAAAATGTTATGAATATTTGTTTAATGCAAAAGTAGCTCGGCCTTGATTAACATATTTTTAATCAAATCGGAATATACTTGTATGTGTGGTTCGATCTTTAAGGATCACCTTTTCGCACACCAATGAAAGGGGAATAAAATTCATCAATTTCTGAATCGAACACTTAACCTTTAACCTTAACCACAGTTTCACCTTTTTCTATTATTTAAAATCTGTTAAGCTTATTAAATCTGCTTATTTTTGCAGAAGCTGCTAATCATGTAGGGTTAAGAAACATTGGTTCCCTGGCAGTTATCACGAATTTTTAGCACTTCTTTAAGCTGCTGAAACATTAGTGAAATACTCTTTTTTATCTAAAATTCGCAACATCAAAAATGTGATCGTGGCTTTTTCATTTGTTGCCCCAAGTTTTAAGCTAAGCAAGAACATTTTATTTAATGATTACAATCAAAACACTTTTCTATCCATTCTCTTCTACACACATGTACATTGTATATGGAACAAAAACCATCTACATTTATGCAAATTTTAAACACTTAACTGTGGCCTAAATCGATCCTTATACCGCTGCCGTTCATACGCTTCTCAACACCAAATATCCAAGTTTTGTGAGCGTTTTGAAATAGTTGAAAGTTTTGGGTGGTGTACTGAACTTTCTATTTGGGCATTTTGGAGCGCATAAAAAGGAAACTTCGCATAAACTTTCCCACACACGTACACACATGTGACATTGATGAACTTTGGCTGCACATTTTGGTGGCCTTTTGGTTTGTTTCTACGCACATAGACATGTGTGTGTGTGAATAGTGTTTTATGGCACACATACTAGTGCATTGCAAGGAATACTCTCACACAGGCGTGTTGCAATCGCTTCCTGCATTTAGCATTCTGCCAAGTGAACTGCATTGGCAGTTGCCAGATTTGTGCGAAGCCTTATTGTTTTTGTTGCCTGCCTCCTGTTTGTGGCTTATTGATGGGGCGTTGGGCGTCCCACCGCTTTCGTGTGTCTAATCAGAAGCGGCAGAGGCACAATTCACAGACACCAGCCGATTTAAGACCATGCTGAGACCAGCGAGAAAGTTGCTACCAATGGGCCCAGCCAGCTCGATTTGGCCATAAAGCCAAAGGGGCGCCACAGCTAACGAGTAAAAATGTCGGACAAATCTCACAGCATACCAAGAAATGGATACACTATCCTGTTTGCTGCAAAATGCATGGCCTGTGGGCCCAGGGTTTAAGAGAGATGTGCAGATTCAGTTCATTTCTGTAGAGCTGACTCAATCAATGCATTGCTTGACATTTATTGAAAAGACGACAGTTGTTATTATTATCATTCAAGAATCAGTTTGCTGCAAAATGCATGGCCTGTGGGCCCAGGTTTTAAGAGAGATGTGCAGATTCAGTTCATTTCTGTAGAGCTGACTCAATCAATGCATTGCTTGACATTTATTGAAAAGCCGACAGTTGTTATTATTATCATTCAAGAATCAGCAACACAATTTTCACTATTGTGGTTAGAGAACCAAATAAACCCTTTAGAATATTCTGAGTTTTTTGACTTTCAAAAGTAATGCCGTTCGAGTTGTGGTATCATTAATATCAAGGGCGTAGGCAGCTTTTACCAAAAGGGGGCCAACAAATTATAATTTTTATTATTTAAAAATAACGTATGCATATGATCAATGAAAAAACTTCAACAAATCCAACTCAGATTCATTTTAAGGCGAAATAATGCGTCACAATAATGAACGTGTGGTGTGTGAATAGCCCCCCCCCCCCCCCTTCCCCCCTCCCAGCCTACGCCCTTGATTAATATTGTTAAAAAAGCGTCCTCAAATGTGCCACGATTGCTCGAAAAAGTTTACAAATTCGTATACTTTTATTAATAATTTGTATGGTCTTATCTATAAACCCGTGATCGGCAGGCAACTCCAAAGGTAGTCCCGTTTTTAATTAAAATTGCGTTTAATTTTTGTTTCAAAACTCTCACTCGGCAGCGTAGCTTCCGCGGAAAGCAAAACTGGTGCTGGTATATCATAAAGATATATACCAGAATATGTTATTTTAAAACGTAGATATGAATGGCAACAATTTGGTTAGCAGTTTAAAAATTAGTTACGGATCTAGTTTACGGATCTACAAGTAGTTTGAACAAAATAGCACAGCTCCAATAGTTATTTGTTGGCAAGAGAATTGTGGGGTAGGTAGATCCCTGCTGCACTTTTATCTTGGCCATAGCTTTTTATCGCAAACACAGCAGCAGGAACAACAACTGCAACAGCAAACATGCTGGGTAGGTAGTGCTCTGGGCTACGTGGCCGCGTATCCTTTAAGTAGTTTGTTGGTTTGCCGGAAATCATAAAATAGCATGCACCTGCTGGCCATTAGGGGGCAAGACGCAGGCGAACATGATAGCCAAGGCATTGTTTAGCTCAGGTATTCGGGCAGGCACTGCTGCCGCCTTAAACCTTTAGCAGGGCAATATCGTTTGTGAGATTCTATAAAATCAGCCAAGTAAGCATCGAAAGGAGCAGCGCAACAGCAACAGCAAAACAGCGGGAGCGAGGTAGCCAACGACCAAAAGGAAATGGCTTCATCTATTATTGAATATTATTTTATACGCTCACTGTGTTATGCCCAGCGCATAAAATCGAAAATCGATGGCAAGGATGTGGCACTACTTGCTGTTACTGCTCCATTCCTAAAGCAGAGCTATAACAATTTCGATGCTAATAGCTTTGAAGCTTGCAAACCAAAGTGCAGGAAGTCACAGCAGACAAATGAGGGAGTTCCAGGATTGCCAGAACACCGGAACACCGTCCGCTAACTTACAGCTCATAGCTTACGACTCACCTGACGGTAAAGGCGCTGCGTCGCGCCACCTGCGCCTCCTCCTGTATCTCGCGAAAGGGACGCTTCTGCCGCTGCTTCTCACGATCGAAATCAATGGCCGTAACACGTTCTAATGGCTGATGGCAAATGACATCACGATCCGATACCGATTTCATATTACGTATGACATACGTGCCGCCAAACCGTGAATGCCGTCCAGTTGGAGGTCGCGCCAAACGGCGTGCCCGCTCCCGACGACGTGCGGCCAGCAGTTCTTGCTGGTCGCGCTGCTTCTCGCTCAGGCTGCGCTGCAGCGATGCATCGGCCAAGGACTCGGCACTCTGTGAAGTAATTAAAATGAAGCGCTAATTGCTGGAGCGTGTCCCAATAAGAAAGATTGCTATCAATGACTTACCTGTTCGCGATAGAGCAGACACAGAATCTCGAGGCCGTGCAGATGGAACTGCTCCTCGTCGGGGGACGAGATGACGAACAGCACTAGATCCAGCATGCCGGTCTGATGCAGTGCCCATATGACCTGGTCATGAAGACTGGCATCGTTGTCCGCCCGGCACTCGGCCTCGGGATTGGCGGGCACCTGCAGCACATTCCTAACCAGCACTAGAATGCGTTCAATCAACAAATTGTTCTCCTCGCTGCGTACGGCAAAAGCCTGTGGACAGAGGAATACGAAGAGAGAGAAAGATACTTATTTAGTATACTCGTAGATGGGCAGATGGCAGATAAGGCAGGCGCATTAAAAGTCAAAATAATAAAACATTGCGGAAAATCCCAGTGTAAAAATCTAAGCAGCAAATCCCGCGAGTCAAGTTAAAATAATCAAATGAAATTAAATTAAATTAAATTGCAAATTTATGTAGCTCGACTGTAAAACGGAAGCTCTAAGGCAAGAACCGACAAGCGAACGACAAAACGGGTCGCCCGAGACACTAAATACACTGGAGCAGAGCATTCAAAAAAAACGGTCCGCAATCAAAAACAATAATTAATTTACCAACTAATTTTCGTATAAAAGCAAACAAAAGTATGTTTTTCAAAAGCCACAAGTGCTTGCCTATTATTACTATTTTTTAATTGACAGCAATATATTTATTTAGATGTTGCTAATTATCTATACATAATTAAGCATATATATATGTAAGATGTTTATTATAAAAGGAATATTATTTAGTATTATAATCCAATGTGGGATACGTTAAATACAACTGATTTAAAGGAATATAGTATGAATTACAAACTACAACGTTGACACACTGCTACGGACGAAACAACTTCTCTTCACGATGTTCTCAGCTCGACCTCTCTCTCACGACTCCACTGCTCTACTGTGTCTCTCCGTGCGGAAAAGGCAGGTTGGCAATACTCTTGTGTGTTGCCACCTTACATTCGGCCCTCCTGATCTTCGTCATCCGACCCGGATGACAACAGCTCCTCGTTTTCGACGAAATACTTCCACAGCTTAATGTTATCGCAGCTAGTTGCTGTGATACCTGGTCCTTCGACGTTTGCGTCTGCTTTCTTCACATCGTAGCGGCCATTTCGCTTAACCTTTACAATTTCGTAAGGGCCCAGAAATTCGCTTGCTAATTTCCGGCCCGCCACAAATTGTGTCCGCTTGATAGCGACGAGATCGCCCAACTTGTAGCCTTTCTCGCTACAGCGCCTCTTGTCGTAGTTTCGCTTGTAGTCCTGCTGTGCCTGCTGTATGTTGCGCTTAGCCTCTGCACGCAACTCTTCTCGCTCCTTGTTAAACACTTCGATTAACTCTTGGTTTAAGAGCTCCAGCAATCGATCATCAGCTTTGTTATGCATCTTGGTGCCAAATAATAGTTCAAATGGCGACGACTTTGTAGACATGTGTATGTGCGCGTTAATTGCCCTCTGCACACGGGGCACATACTTGAACCATCTTGCAGGTTCCTCATCTGACAGCTTCGCAATGATGGACAAAACGGAACGGTTCACCCTCTCGACTTGACCGTTGCCTCTCGCTACACCTGTTGTTGTCCAGACGTGCTCAACCATGTTTGCGTTTACAAACTCTTTAAACGGAATAGACGTGAAGGCGGCGCCCCTGTCGCTTATAACACGCCTCGGAAAACCAAAGATGCTCGCCCACTCCTTCAACTTTTTGATGACTTCTTCTTGGCCTGTTGACTTCGTAGGGAACAGCCAGACAAATTTGGAAAACGAATCGACGACCGCCAGGATGAACTTATACTGCTTTGATGTTGCATCCATAGGGCCTAGATGGTCGATGTGCAGCGTGTGAAGTGGTACATCACCCTTTTCAATACAGTTCATGAACCCTTCTCGTTTCGTTAGCTTTTTACTGTGAATTATACAACTTATGCAATTAGCAATAAACCTTGTTACCTTACCCTCCAGATGTGGGATAAAAAACTGCTGTTGAATATTATGCATCGTTTTTCGCACCGCAAAGTGACCCGACTCGTGAGCGTTCTTGATTACCTCACGCTCCATCAGCTTTGGGACGACCAGCAATTCGCTACCGTTGACTTCTTTAAATAGCAGCCCGCCTTTCATCTTATAGTTCTCGTATGGCCCAATTTGTAACAGCTTGACGACTGCTTGTAGTTGCTCATCATTTTCTTGTGCTTTCCTTAGTTGTACCGACAAAAGTGTTGATACCATAAACACATTTTGTGGGTAACGGCTTAGATGATCGACGTGTCTCATTTTTTCGGCTACACGGTGCTCCATATCGATACAAAAGTCTTGTAAATACAAAACCCACTGCGCGACTTCTCTCGGCATATCCTGCTTGCTCGTGGTCTGCTTAAAAGCGATGCAATCCGTCACCAGCTTAAACTGGACTCCCAGCAGATAATGGCGGAACTTTTTCAATGCCAAATATGCCGCCTTAACCTCCAGGACGTAACTATGCTGCTTCGACTCCGCTTGCGACGTTTTCTTGCTCCAATAGTAGATTGGATGGAGCCTTCCATTGAATGACTGCAGCAACACCGCTCCATAACCCTCTTTAGATGCGTCTGTATGTAACTCGGTGGGTGCTTCTCTGGCGTAAATATGCAAAACTGGTTCACTCGTAAGCATATTCTTCAACTGTTGCATGGACTCCAATTCCGCAGGACCAATTTTAAATTCCACATCTTTCCTCAGGAGATTCGTAAGTGGACGCGCCACCTGCGCATAGTTCGGCATAAATTTCCGGAAAAATCCCGTTAGACCAAGGAACGATTGAACGCCTTTTATATTTTTCGGCGTGGAAAACCGGCTGACAGCAGTAATCTTTTCAGTACCAGGCCAAACTTTACCATTCTCGACGACATGGCCAAGGAAACATATACGTTGATAAAGAAATTTGCATTTTTTCCACTTCATCTTTAGCCCGTATATAGCAGCGGCTTCCAACACTTTTCTCGTTTTCTGCAAACATTGTTCAGCTGAGGAGGCATAAACTATTATGTCGTCCATGTATAGTTGCATAATATCTTCATTTATCAGCTTCTGGAAGATATGGTTCACGAAACGTATAAAAACAGCTGGAGAGTTTCGGAACCCAAACGGTGCCTTGTTGAATTCAAATAATCCTTCTCTTGTAACGAACGCTGTGTAGAGTCTACTGCCTTCTTCCACTGGCACATGAAAAAATCCATTTTCAAGATCCATTATTGTGAAATACTTAGCTGCTTGTAGTTTCTCCAGTACATCTTCAACCATGGGCACAGGAAAGCGATCCTGTAACACCATACTGTTCAACTTGCGATAGTCGATGCATACTCTAAGCGTCTGATCCTTCTTTTTGACTACGACGACTCTGCTTGCAACGTGTGATGACGATTTCCGTACAATGCCTTTCTCCAACCATTCTTCGACTTGGAACTTTACAGCTTCGGCTTCTTTGACAGACAGACGACTTGGTGAGTGGCAAAACGGTTTCAGTACTCCATCGGGAATAATCTTCAGCTCGATTGGGCTCTGTAACTGGGCTGCAGGCGGCTGACAACTGTTCTTGATCAACTGCTCGACGACTTTTTGAAACTGCGGAGGGGCTGAAACGACACAAGACTCTTCAAAAACACTGTAAACATCTAGCGGATATTCATCTGTGGATTTCTGTTCGGCTTGCAACTGTTCAAAAGAATAGCCATTGCTATCGGCAGAGAACTTGAACTTTTTAAGGAAGTCGTGTCCCAACAGCGCATTACAATCCATCCTGTGACTTGGTACGACCAAAAACTTCTGCTCTGTACACAACTGGTCTACTTCGACCTTGGCAAGAAAGCATCCAACTGGCTTCGTGCTGGCATTACCCAATCCGCGCAACGTAGAATAACTTTTCAGCATCTCGACATCGTTTAAATATTTCAGTATACGTTCGTTCAAAATTGTAACATCCGATCCTGTATCAACTAGGCATGCAACACTAGCCCCGTTGATAACAATTGTTTTTAAGCGACTTTGATCTGCAATAACTCGCACTTTCTCGACTTTTTTCTTGCAGTCCCGCGCTATATGTCCGCTTTCACTGCAATTGAAGCACTTTGTATCCGCTGTACACTCTCTTCTTTTGTGGTCTGGTGAGCCACAATTAAAACAGAACTCTTTTCTTTTGTCACTATTGTATGGTTTACCAGTTGCAATAGTTGTATTTTTCTCGGTGCGTTTTTTCTCTTGCTCATGAACTAGTTCGTAAATTGCGTACTCCTCTTTGAGCGACTTATACGACTTACATCGATACATGGCACATTTAAATTCATTCTTTATATTGAGGCCATTAACTATGTGGCGTAAAACGGCTGCCTCTTCTACATCTCCTACACTTGCCAACTTTTTCATATGCAAAATGTATTCATGAAAGGACTCAGACTTTTTCTTTTTTCGGTCACTCAACAGCTGGTGAATATCGGCGCTGTTCAAAGAACATTCAAACTCATCGATTAGCTTTTGTTTAAGCTCTTTAAAATCACTCACACACTCTGACTCCAAGAACAATCTGGCAGCTCCCGACATTTTTCCCCTCGCTTGTACATATTTTTGCTTGTCCGACAATTCGTAAGCATCAGCATTGCGCTCAAATATTTCAAACCATTTTACAGGTGGCACCGAATAACCGTCGAAATCGCTTAAAATTTTTTCAAAATTATCGGCCGTTATTTTGATTTGGTTTTCTTTGCGTTCATCCACTTCCACTTTTAATGCCAGCAACTGTATAAGCTGCTGCATTTGCGCTGTGACGTCACTGTTGCTCTTCATAGCTGTTTCGCTGACTTGCAGAGACATTGTTGCTATTCCCTTTTCTTCGTTTTCTTCTACCGTATCAATGGCGTCGATGTAACTGGTACTTATGTTCCCTTTATGCGGCGTTCGTCTGGTTTTCGGCATTCTCTTCTTCTGTATGTGCAAAATTCCTTACGGTACTTTTGCGTGTGTATCTGTAGAAATTTCTAGACGCGATCACTTGGCCTTGAATACTGCGCTGCTTTTGGCTTGATTGGCTGAATTATTGTAATTGCTTACTTTAACGGCTGCACAACTTCACAACTTTTCGACTTTCAGCAATCTACAATAAATAACCCTCTACGCTCAACTTTTAGCCCGTACAACTTTTCACACAGTTTTTCTATCTCCACAATCGAGTCAAACTTCACTGTACATATCCGATTT